CCTACTTTGAATTTCTCTTCTCTGCGCATCTTATTAGCATGTTTGATCATGGCATGCTGACGCTTGTTCATGGCTGCGGTCACAACTTTGAGCAAGCGTGCGTACTTGGCATTGTAGCCAGGCATGCCGGGCATCAGACCAGGTGACCGTTCTGGGAACAGGTAGGAGAGGGGATTGCGCATTGGCCATCCATACTGCAACTGGTTTGGTGTCACACCGGTTGCAGAATGGATGGAGTTGTTGTACAGCCCCTTTACTTTATGCAAGTCCTTATCCCATGTGTTCTGATCTGGCACGATCAATGCGCGCAGCAGCTGGGTGACAATCTGGTTGATTTCCTCAGCCAATCCATTGGCTTCGGGGTGTCGATCAGAAGTCATGTTCAGTTTGATGTCATAGATCTGGGCAGTGAAGTCCTTCCAATCCTTGCTGATGAACCTRGTGTCCCGATCACTCACAAGAGTTTTCGGGGGCCCATACTGCAGAATGTACTGCTGGTGAAACTCTTCGATCACCAGTTCAGTCGGTGCATGAGGAGGTAGAGGAATCAGATTCATAAATTTAGAGAAGCGATCCACAATGACGATGACTTGTGAATTCCCTGCCGTACTCACCTTTCCCATGTCCGTGAAATCGATAGAGACCGATTCCCCGGGGCCATCAGGGATTGGGAGAGGTCTCAGCAGGCCATAAGGCTTATGCCTGTGGACCTTGGTTCTCTGACAGACTTCACACTCAGCAATAAATTTCTGAGCAGATCCCTTCATTCCTGGCCAATCAAACTGCTGGAGAAGACTTATGGAAGTCTTCTCAAAGCCGAAATGCCCACTCCGACCATGTGCCAAATCCAGGAAATGAGTCCGGAGAGGCGCATGGTTAGAAACACACAAGCGATCAAATTTCCCGTACTGGCGGAATACAAGACCATCGCATTCATGAAAATCAGGATGGTTGTTGGGGTCAGCCTTAAGTTGCTCAAGGATGGGACTAAGGTCCGGATCCTTGGCGGTGTGTTCGATCAGATCCTCCTTCAGTTTCCTGCGGAGGTCGCACGAATCCACCAGGCAAGTCAAATACTCAGGATGGCGCGATAGAGCATCAACAACACGATTATAGCAGTCTTTCTTATGCTTCAATTCAAAGTCGAAGACATCAATATCATGCAACCAGCGGGTCAGCGTTGGAGAAAGATCGGTTTGTGTCTTAATCCACTGCAAGGTCTGATGATCTGAGTAGACCTTGAAGTGGCAACCTGAGAGATAGTGTTTCCAATGTGTGAGCGCCTCGCGCAAGGCGTAGAGCTCCTGCATGTATGTGGAAGTGACTACCTTGTGGCTGGGCATGCGTTTGCTGTAATATTCAAGCGGACGCAGGCCATCGTCATCATCTTGTTGCAGCACTGCACCAATCCCAAACTGGCTCGYGTCCGTAGTGACTACGAACGTGAGGTTGGGATCCGCAATGCGGAGCACAGGATGACTCACCAAAGCCTCTTTCAAGGCTYKGAACGCAGTCTCACACTTTTCACACCACGCGTAGGCAACATTTTTATTAGTCAGGCGTGAGAGTGGATGAGCAATGACAGAGAGTTTAGGCACAAACTTCCGATAGTAAGAAGCCAAACCGAGAAAAGAACGGAGCTCGCGTACATTTGCCGGTTGAGGCCAGTTGCGGATGACCTTAACCTTGGTTGCCTCCGGCTCAAGGCCGCTCACAGACAACCGGTGCCCAAGATAGATGGCGTTGTCCYTGCCAAACTCAGATTTCTCCAAGTTGAGGTGCAGTTGAGCATCTTTGAGGACTTGCAAGACCTCCTCAAGATGCTTGACGTGCTCCTCCATGGACTTGCTGAGAATCAGAATGTCATTAAGATACACAACCACAAACCTGTTAAGTTGGTGGCGGAGTACCTT